TATGATGCCTTCCTTGTAAGCGTCAGGGCTCGAGCTTCCCATTTTTCTCCATCTCAAGCCAAAATTTTGACAGCAATAACTGCTTGAGCTGGGCTTTCAGTGGACTCAATATGTAAGACCTCCAATAACACAGGTAGTAATTTCATCATTTGGGGAATTAAATTTGCAAAAGGTTTTTTCCTTGGAAGCACTTCATAAAAGATTCTGAAAGCAAGCTGCAAAGGAGACTGTGACTTTCTTGATGATGAACACCGGTGTCATTTTTTTCCTTCCGCTTCTCTGCAGAAGTACCGTTGTTTTGTGTCCCATTTCCTTCACGGCAAACTAACTCTTAGGAGTTTGGGTTTTATTTTCTTCTTTCCTTTTTTTTTTTCCTTATCAGACAGATTTTACACATTAGTATCTTTGATCTTTGTAGCAGGCATTGAAATCCATAGGAAATCCACAGAAAACCCCACCTACTGACGATCAGTGCCCTGCAGTTTGTAATACTTGAAAGTTGGATAGATCTGTGGCAAAAGCCAACGTCATTTTACAACAACATCCTACCCTGGGCCATGAGAGCGGGTCTTAGCTGAGATCAAGTCATGTAGATAAATAAAACCCAAGTCCACCTCTGATCAGAGCAGATATGTGGGAGGTATGAACAGGACTGGCCAGATGCTAGACCATATGATAAACACTGAGGATCATGGCATCATATAAAACTGGGCATTTATATGGTACAGCTGGCTATGCATAATCTTCTCCTAATTTATAATCTTCTCCTAATTTAGAAGGCTGGAGCATCTGCTCCATTGCTGTTGCTCTATCAGCTTTTCCGTAGCCCTGTTCTTGAATTTTGGGTAGTTACTGCTCTTCTGAGTGCCAATGGAATGAGAAGTTAAAGCCATTTATGGTTGGAGATAAGCTCTTACTCCATCTGACAGATAAGATAATGTTCAGCCACAGTCATGAAAGAAAGAAGGGTAGGCCCTTGTGGGATGAGCTCCACTTCGCAGGAAGACCATTAACGGCAAACTCTGATCTATTTCTCACTGGCAGGACCCTCAGCCGCGACACGAGGACTTGGCCAGATGAGGACATTGTGACAGACCATGCCCATGACTGCAGACATCCCCCAGTGATGTGTCAGGCCAGGGCTTACAGAATAGGTTGCACAAGTCCTGCTTTTGTTACACTGCTTGGTTTTCCCCACCCTATGCCATAGCCCTAGAAGTCAGCATTTATTTCTCTCTTTCCTGAAACAGAAGCTGGCATTTGGCACTTTGTTAGAAAATGCCTGCTCCATAAGTGGCTAAAAAACCAAGAGAAGAATGTTTTGAGCTGGGTCTTGCAAGCTTATGGCCAGAAGGAGTCAAGCCAACGTTGTAAAGGCATCCTGCACTGTAATGTGCATGTGCACTAACCACTGTGGAGCCATGTGCCAGCCCGGGCAGCTCTGGAGAGGTGGACCCACAGCAGATGGTCTCCTTGTGTCCACGAGGAGGAAGGGAAAGGAGGACTAGAGCTCCCTTTTCCAGATATTCCCCAACTGACTTGCCTGCAGGAGAGCCCCAGCTGTAGTTTAGCGAACTCTTCCTCCATTCCACCCTCATGGAGACACAAACAGCAGTGCAGCATACAGGCTAAGGCACAGTGAAGTGGTTTTTAAAAGCTACAGCATTACCAAGGCTATCTGGAAGCTGTGGGTGCAGATCACAGAGCTGGAATGTGCTACAGCAAAGCACTTCTCCCTGAAGGAGCCCCATCCTGCAAGCCCAGGGACCAATGCTTTGGGAACATGCCACTGCTGCTGACGGCAGAGAATAAATATAGCATTTTACCAAACCCTTCCCCAGTACAATTACATGTCAGAGCAGAGCTGAAAGGAACTCTGCATTTCAAATGGAAAGAGAAATGACACGGTCAGAATGGAAGTGGAGTTCCTGCAACTCTTGTGCTGCTTTCTGTAAGCCCGTGTTGTTGCTGAGGAAGTGAAATCTGGTTAGCAAACGTAACAGTGCAAGACTTCTTCAGACCTTTTGTTGTTTTTCCTAGTATACGTGCTGCAAGTTTTTTATAATTTTATCAAATTGAAAAACTTCCAGGTTTCCCACATCTCCATAGATGTATAGGATGGCAGCTGCTATGCTTCTAGCCAGGTCTGAACGCTTCAGGGAGTCCTATGGCTCTGCTGCTGCATTTTTTTTAAGTCTTCTTTAAGATTTGAGAACCCTAAACACAGGTACAGTATCCGGCTTGTCAGCCTGTTCCCTGACTAGGGTTAGTAGACGTTACCTTAATAAAGCTTTATCTTCATGTAACAACAGCTGCCCTAAGGAAAAAGCTGAATTTGAGGAAGAATTTGAATTAATAAGGATATTGTTTCCAGGCTGTGATAACCCACAAGTGGATGAAGTCACCAGTGCTGAAATGTAAGACAGGCTATTTCTTAATAGTTTGCCTGTGTGGTTTCATTGTGGTTCTGCCCAGTTCAAGAGGAGTGGCAGGGCAGTCCTGGATCTGAGACTTGTCATGGCACTTGGTACTATACGGTGATTTAATAAGCCTCGCTTCCCAAAAAAACTTACCTAAGTTAGGAAAGTGTGGGATATGGCTGGGACAAAGCAATTGGAAGAAATGGGAAAGGAGCAAAAAGGGAAGCATGGTGAAAGAAACCTGACTTTATGGGCTAGATATGCAGACACAGCTCGATGCCTGCAAACCTAGTCATTCAAATATACCATGTGTTAGAATCAGATGGTGGAAATATTTAATATGGAATGCCCTCTTACATTTTGGTAAAGGCAAGGGTGACCAAGATTCGCTTCCTTAGGCACAGCCTCCTCCCAACTGCCTGCTGCCAGCGTCCTGATGCAGCTCTCAGCGGTGCTGCCTCCAGGTGAGTTGTTAGTGACAGTCCATGAAAAACGTTTTGGATGAGACTTAGGTGAACTCAGGGTCTGCTACCCAACCTGAACCAATCCACCTTTGTGTATGTGAATTAAGGGAAAGTAGATAGCGATTACATAGCAGGGAGCTCCATTTTTCCATTTTTGGCTTGCTTTGCCCTCTTGTGCCTGGCCCACTCTCACCTCCTCTCATTTAATTTGCAATCACAGGATGCAGTTAAGTATTGACATTCTCATTACTTACAGACCTTGCAGATCTGGAAAAGCCACTTCACCCCTCCATCCCGGCATGGCTTACTGCATATCTACCCAGACCTTACCCAAGAAATCTTTCCCTTGTGAGATGAAGACTAGGAGGAGTAAAACCTTTAGAAATCACAGTCGATGGTCAGCATTCATCATACTTTACTGTGAAATGGTTGAAATAGAGGTCTCTTCCCTTTGACTGTCTGTCACTGACTGGAAGTGAGGATCTTTTCTGTTTCAGTTTAAATTAGCTCTTGCCTAATCACATACTGGCTTCACCCTCAGAAATGTTGAGGACACTGTGAAGACACTGTAAACCTGGGGTATACTCCTGTCCTGTATAATTTTCATTTTAAAGAAATGACACTTTTTTTTAATCTTTTGTTGTAACCTTTGTTATAAAAGAAATAAAATATCTGATACTTCTATTTTATAAATTGTATTTTAATTCCAAGGCTTAAAATAGAAAGCCCCTAGAAAAAAATTTTAAGGATATTTTCACAAATAGTTTTTGCGTATTATTTTTCAATATTACAGACTGTTTCCTTTGTAAATGCAAATACATACCACTGTAAGTTGTAATATAGAATATACAAAGAATCCTTGGTCTCTGTGTAGCATAAAATGATTATGATCACTCAAATAATTCAATGCAGCAAAGGTTAATTTAAAAAGTATCCAAGTATGTATTCCAGGCATAGACCACAGATGTTGGTTTACAGCTGGATCTGTGATGGGAGGCATCTTCTGCCATCATCCATGTAACTGGGAAGAAAAAGAGAATTGTTGCTGGAGTGTGCATTTAAGTTGGATGGTATTCAATTTAACTGAAAATGCAACAAATGCTATTCACCTGCATCCCTCCTATACCTCTGCAGGTTATTCAGAAGTCCAGCTCTAACCTGAGCTTCCAGTTACAGTACTGGGAAAGCAAGCAGAAATGCAGGAAAATCACCTAGAAACTGGCTCTGTCATTTAGGCTAAACTCACTGACCAAGTCTCAAGAGACACCAATGTTATGCCTCATATTATGAAGCAGAAGAAAGAAAATCTTTTATAGTTAGGGTCCTATAACAAGAAGCACAGACTCAAACTTTGCTACTTTTCTAGTTTTCCTCCATAACCCCTGGAAAGGGCCCAAATCTGAGCTTGCTAAGGCCAAAGACATTGAACTCAGCTTTGGCTTGGGTCCTTATACACTCTGTGCCTTGGCACCTGTAAAGCAGGACTGATAGTAAATCTCTGCTGGGCATATGATATGTGAAGACAGTCTAGTGATTAAGTAAACAAACAGATTTTTCAGACTAGCAAATTGAGCTAACTCACATTTTAGCCCATGGAAACTCATTACATTTGATAACTGGTTTATTTTTAAACACACTACACCTGAAGAATGGCCATGAAAAGAGGGCAGGCTGATTTGAATTAAATACATTACATAAATACCTGAACAGAATTACAGAGCTTGCAGCAGAATTGCAGGTTAATAAAGCTGGAGGTCACTCATTTTCCTAGTTAATTATTACTTGACAGCAATAAAAACTGATGAAAGCAGTACTATGTGTAACTGCTTCAAGAAAGGGAAGAGGGAGATGTTTCTGAGGACTGTGCCAGCATGCAAATGATTTTCCACACCATTCCTCTAATCTCCTTGGCCATAACATTCTTATGTGGTGTGAAACTAGCTGAGGTGATGTAAGAACACTGGCTAATACTGTCATATGGGGTGGCAGTTTTTATGCCACAACTATTTTTCTCCTTTCGGAGAGGATCTGCCTTTGGTGAGGCGATAGCTCTTGGCTTCCAGAGTCATCTCCAGGTTCAGCTGGTGACTTACCTGTTGCAGAGGTTCCAGCCCTGTCACTGCAGCACGGTGCATTGCCTGCTGCTGTAGGCACTGCTGCGGTCCAGCATCGGCATGTACGTTTTAGCCACGATGCAGTAGCTGACTCCGGGCCTCAAATCTTCTATTTTAACAACCTTGTCTTTTCCTTCATACACCAGGACTCTGTGTTGCTTCAGGCAGAGAGGAGTAAAAACAGCCAGTAAAGCAGGCTAGATCATTCCAGAATAACAACAACAAAATTTTGTTTAGAAACGGAAATGCAGAATCTAACTACTTCTATCTCTATTTCCTGGAGATCTGCCAATGTACACTCTGACCCTTGTGTCAGGGTAAGTGGGATGAGAGCATCTGCCTTGAGGGCATCTGGTTAAGGACCTTCTTCAATGAAGAAAAGGGATAATAAGAGAAGGATGAAGCCATAAACAAAACATAGAGGGACACAAACCTGACTGACGGTGACACAGATGGTGGGATCGAGTGCACCCTCAGCAAGTTTGCTGACGACACCAAGCTGTGTGGTGCGGTCGACACGCTGGAGGGAAGGGATGCCTTCCAGAGGGACCTGGACAGGCTGGAGAGGTGGGCCACTGCCAACCTCATGGAGTTCAACAAGGCCAAGTGCAAGGTCCTGCACCTGGGTTGGGGCAATCCCAAGCACAAGTACAGGCTGGGTGGGGAGTGGATAGAGAGCAGCCCCGAGGAGAGGGTCTTGGGGGTACTGGTAGACGAAAAACTGAACGTGAGCCGGCAGTGTGCGCTGGCAGCCCAGAAGGCCAACTATATCCTGGGCTGTATCCAGAGAAGTGTGGCCAGCAGGTCGAGGGAGGGGATTCTCCCCCTCTACTCTGCTCTGGTGAGACCCCACCTGGAGTGCTGCGTCCAGCTGTGGAACCCTCAACATCAGAAGGATATAGACTGGTTGGAACAAGTCCAGAGGAGGCCATGAAGATGCTCAGAGGGCTGGAGCACCTCTGCTATGGGGACAGGCTGAGAGAGTTGGGCTTGTTCAGCCTGGAGAAGAGAAGGCTCTGGGGAGACCTTATAGCACCTTCCAGTACCTGAAGGGGATACAAGGAAGCTGAGGGGAGGTTTTTACAAGTGACAGGACAAGGGATAATGGGTTTAAATTGAAAGCAGGGAGATTTTTATTAGATATCAGGAAGAAATTCTTCACAGAGAGGGTGGTGAGGCACTGGAATGGGTTTCCCAGAGAAGCTGTGGATGCCCCATCCCTGGAAGTATTCAAGGCCAGGCTGGATGAGGCTTTGAGCAACCTGGTCTAGTGGAAGGTGTCCCTGCCCATGGCAGGGGGGTTGGAACTAGATGATCTTTAATGTCCCTTCCAACCCCAACCATTCTGTGATTAATTCTGTGATTCTGCCCTAGCAAGTGTGTCTGTGATTAAAGTTTGGTAAGAATCGAGGATGCAGAGTAGCACATGGACTTGCACAGTCAATAGCATTAATATTTTATTTATGATTTTTAAAGAAAATTGCCCCCAAAATTCCCCTCCTGTCCTAGTTTTTTTAAATCTAGGTCTTAAAGTAGGAAATACTAAGTTCATGGGAAAGAATACAGGGAGAAATACAATTCAATTTAATTAATTTCAATTCCTGAAAAACAAGCCTACTTTGTTCTCAAATGCTTACACAGTCATCTGTGCCCTCACACACCCAGAAGACTCTTTCAGCTGTAAAATAAGAATGGTGTGCCCATATTTTCATGGCTTTTCAATGGTAAATGTTTCATATTTGAATATGCACTTACCTCATCTAGCAAGTTGTTAATTATGAAGACTTGATATAGCAGGTGATAATAATTCGTCATTGGTATCTTGCTGCCTCTCTTCCTTTTATAAGGAGAATGTGGAGCCTGGAGCTTTATTATTATGGATTTGTGGTTATGAACCACACTTACTGTTGGAGGTCCTATCATAGCTAAGGAAAAAAAAGAGAATCTATGAAAACAATTATAGTTTATTAATAATGTTTCACAGAATACAATTTGAACATGTCCAACAATTTCATGTTCTTGTTACCAACAATATACTATGCTGTATTTGCTGTTAAAGTGCCACTTTGCAAATCCTTACTTCTTGGTGGTTATTGCCCAGGACATTTTGGGGATGGTATTTGTGTGTTTGTAAAACTATCTTTGAGCCAAACATTCTGAAATCTCTCAGAGCTTCATGTTACTGACTGCAGGCTGGTCAAGCAAAATGTTTTGGATTCTTTGCCCTGATTTTCACACGCGCGCACACACACACACAAACCCACCCCAATTTATCTGCGTGTTTGGATTGCATAAACGAGCTACTTGAACAAGGATGCAGCTTCAATCATTTCTTCCTTCTTTTCTTTTTTTTTTTCCAATCTGTTTGGTTAAACACAGCTAAGGGTTCAAGCTAGTGCCTGCATACCTGTGTGTGCAGCCCCAGAGATGTGGGGAGAGAGGTCAGCAGCTGCCCCACGCACCTCTCCAGGAGGATGAGGAGGCACAGGGCAAGGTGGGCTGCTGCTGCTGAAAGGTACTGCTTTGTGCCAAAGCTTGTGGTTTCGACTGTGCAGAAGGCTCAACGTAATTAGCACTTCAGGGCTGTGAAGTGACCTGCACTGACATTCACAATTCAATTTTGTATTGACCAGTGAGGGAAAACTGGTTAATTCATGGGGACCTTACTAGCAGGTATACTGGTACTGTTCAGCATTTTGTCAGTCCTTCTTTTTCTAGCATTCTGTGGCATTATAATGACTGGACTAACTGAAACCTTTGGACATGTCCTTTCTAAATACACTGCAGTCAGGAAAACACATGAATATGATAAGAATGGTGCCACACAGCTCTCATCTCTCTTCTTGCTTTTCCTCCTAAGTAGAGACGATTTACTTCTTTTCCATCTTGTATCCAGTCCTTCCAGCAGCTCTGAAAAGAGCTGAAAATAATTTGTGTAGTTCCATGCCCTGAAGAAGAGGTTGAGTTAAAGGGAGATGGGCACTTCTGATCCTTTAATTACTGACAAATGGCTATGTGTCCATAATTGGTTGGCTTTCAGTTGCGGGGAAAATTATTTTATCACTTCACCTGAGAGCTACTGACTAGCAACTTCTTTTGGTACAGCTCTGTGGCTAGAAAAAGATTACCCATGTTTGCAAATTATGAGCAGAAATTATGTATTCCATGCCACAGAAAATCCAATTCCTTTCTCAGAGAAACCCATATGTTCGCACTTACTTTCTTGCCAGGGAGTGAATCTGCAGCTGAGGCTCCAGTCGGAATAGACACCAGCTGATGCGGCTTTCACCCTGCCGTAGTACGGCTCTTGGATGTCAGAGGTCTCATTCGTCAGGTCACAGACATGGTTTTGAATCCCCCAGCAGTCGTCTTTGTTTTGCCATGTGCTCTGCCCATACCTACCGAGGAAGGGTGTAAGATTTAGCTTTAGCCAACCGGCTCTATACAGATTTTTAACCGTTGCAACTCAATGGTACTGACAAGTGTTCTGCCCTGGAAATTAACTCCATTCCATCTGATGACAGGGAAGACTGATGTTATGGGTATTTGGGAGCTACAGGTTTCTGTCTCTTCCTAAAAAAACCTAAAGCAGAGGTGTCGGTTGCCAGCCCTGTAGGAAGCCACCGCATGCTTGCCTCTCTGGAGGGGTGGGCGAGCTTTGGCTTAGCCAGTGCATTCAGTGATGGGCAGAATGCCAGTTTCCACCTCAAAGGTGATAGTGATTTCTGGTGCTCACCAGGTTCCCCAGGGACTGGAATGTACCTCCTCCAAGGACCAGCCCCTAGCACTGCTGCAAGTTTGCCGTGCGAGGCACCCTGCGACACTGTCGTGGGCAAGGTGGACGACTGAAATACCTTAAATGTCCTACTGCAGAAGTACCTGACCAGGCCAGACTGGCTTTGGCAGGTGGTTGGACCAGTGACCTCCAGAGGTCCCCTGAAAACTACATTTTTCTGTAACCATGACACAGTGAGGGTTCAGAACATGTTGCTGGGGGTGCTCATTCCCTGCCTGTCTCCAGCTGTTCAGCTGCACCTTATAAGCTCAGCAACAACCAGCAGCAGAGCAGGACGTGCCTGTTCCCCAGGTATGGGGAGAATATCCCGTGTCACCTGAGAAATCCCTTTGATGTGCCAAGCAGGGATGGGCCTCAGCCCAGCAGGAGGCTGGAGTTCCCCCAGTACTTACACTTTATACTGCACAAAGTAGAGCGTGTCTCTTGCCTCTGTGGCCCTCCCAGGCTGCCAATGCAAAGTGCTGTTGAAGTTTAACGAACGGAACACTACCTTCTGTGGCTTAATCAAATCTTGCAGGTCTCCGTCCTCCAAAACTAAAATCACTGCAAGTAATAAGGAACGATAACATCATGTGTTTGTCACAGACACGCTCCGTATTGAAATCGGGGGGTATTGCTACAGCTCATTTGCTTTCATGACTAGCAGACTGCAGGGAAATTACAGCTCCTGGATCTCATGTTCAAAACTTTCCGACTCACAGTGACCAGACCTAGGAGTTACGGAACAAACACATTTAGTATTATGAAAGGAACACTTTTATGTGGTTTGTTTTGGTTTGGGTTGTTTATTTTTCATTCTTTCTTAGTGAGTTTTCTGCTGTGAAAGATGCCTGATGGACATCCCAGGAGACAAACCCTGCGGATCAATTCACAGAGCCTGCAGTAAGCAGCCCCATAAGGAGTTAAAGTAGAGTGCTCTTTCTCCACATCTCAGCTTTAACCTGCAGGGATTATAGCTGTTTTAACTGTTGCTGGAGCCGTGTTTATCAGCTCTTGCCTAATAAAAACCAACCTGATATTCACTGCTTTTCCAGTCTGCACTACTGGAAAAAGCTGCCTGACAATTTTCAAGATAATCTGTTTTCAAACTGTGATGGCTACTGATGACAGAATTAGTTAACAACCTCTCTGAAGCACCCAAATCCTAACATTTTTCTGAGTTTCATGACTCAGGTCACTGCAGCTTTATCCATGGCATATCACAGAATCAGGTAAGACTTGTACTGTTTGAACTGAAGCAGGTAATACAGGCATGAATAAATTTAATGGGTAACATGCTTGTTTTACCTGCATTTCAGAACCTTGAAAGACAAAGTAACAGTCTAATTTGGAAGTGACTGGACTTTTTAAACCCACCAAAAGACCCAGAATTCTTGACTCATCTGGAGATTCAATAACAGACCCAGCATGCCCCTCCCCACATAGGAAAACAGTGGAAAGCCTTTACTTACTAGTTATCTCCTCCTGAAGCAGATGCATCAGTAAGCAGAGGGAGGAAAGCGTGATCCCCCTCATGCTTAGGAGAGCAGCTCCATGACTGAAGAGCATCTCTCTTCCTCCTGGGCATGTCTTATGAGGAAGTAATGGTTAAACACTCCAGAGTTCCCCTTATTTTCAGTGGTTTCCAAAATCCCCAGTTTGGCTGGGGTTTAATTTAGCTGAAAAACATATGAGTTGTTCTAAATTAAACATAAGCAATTGTTCTTACTTGGCAGCTGTGGTCACTCTGAAGTTTGGAATTAATTATGAGGCAAACGAGCATGAAAAAAGTCCTTTTTTTTTTTTTTGTTCAGGCACTAATTCCCAAATGATATCTGGCAGTATTGCTTTATCCCATAAATTTGACACACGAGCCTGCTGGCTTGCCACACTAAGATTTTATATTATTTTTTTTTTAGCTCACTCATCGCTCAGAACTGAAGAACACGAGATATTTTGCTGCAAACCTGTAAAAGACGTACCTGTGGAATGTCATCTGATTTGGTGGCCTGTCTTTGGGTCGAAGGCAAGTGGAGGGCGTTTGCAGGTGTGTTGGCAGCAGGACGTCATCTAGGAATGTATCATCGGAGGAACGAGGGGCCGGGAAATCGATGCCAGCTGTGCTGTTGGGCAGCGTGTCCATGCCATGCTGGCTGCTGGAGAGATGCTGGGAGGCTGGGGGCAGGTCTGAGGGCAGGGAACAGGAAGGCGAGCCCAGCCCATCGGACCAAAGTGCTACTCTGCACTGGACTTTCAGACTGCCGGGAGTCATATGCCCCGACCAGCGCGGGTGTGCCACAATGCTGCCTGCACAAATATTGCTGTTTGTCACCACTCTCCTCCAGATCCTGCCATTCCAATGTGCACATCCCTGCGAGCCTGACCCCAGGGCTCGGGACGCCGGAGTTCCCTGGCGAAAGCAATCCATCGTGTCTCTAAGTGTCTTAATGCCACGTGCACCTACCCAGCGGGAGCCAGGCTTCCTGCTCCTGGGACATATGGAAAGCTCAGACGGGCAGTGAATGTGGTGTCGCTGGAGGCAGCTGGGAGCCTGCCGGCCCTCCCACTCAACCCTGCCCTCCCTCTTCCTTCCCTGAAAGCTCCCTGGCGCTGACATCCGCATGTACTTTGCTGCTCACGCACCGCTGCATGTGGGCAAAAGTCAGGATGCGTTCTGCTTTTACAGGCTCACGCTGACAAGCAAGATGAGAAAACCCAAATTTCCTATGACACAGTACAGCACGATGTAGCGATGCCCATCAAAGAAACAGCAGACGTGAAGACTACCTGTCTGCAGAAACAAAAATTTGCCTAACTTCTTTTATTATTTTGGGAAAAGTTGGAAGCAAAACACCTGTCAGGACAAAAAAGTGCAAGTTCTGGTTCAAATGAAGGTTTGGGGTTTTTTTTATTATTTAAAGGCAACTGGTTCTACTCAGCCAGCTGAATATACCTAATCAAGAAGGTGGCCTTGGTCAGATTCATGGGCACAGGGCTCTGAGCTCAGCTCATCACCTATACCTCGTCATCCAAGCACCCAACCTGCAGCAGATATGTTAAAACGACAGCTGTGTAGCTTTGAATAATTAACTAGTTTGCCCAATTAAGGGAATTAAAGAACTGAGAAAAGATGCAGGAGAAAAAAAAACCAAACCAACACAGAGGTGGAGGGCAGAAAAGCCACCCTGCCATCACCAGCCGGGAATTTTTTATCTGTCCATTTCCCAAACACGTTTTCAGAATCCAGTGACCTTAAAATAGTTCCCCACACCAAATGCAATTAGTATTTCATCATGTTATGTGAGCTCAAGTGCGGGAATAGGGAACTTTTATAAACCCATCACCAGTCTGAAATGTCATCAAAGTTTAGTCACACTTGTCACAGGTTGTGTATTTGCTTACTTGAATTGTACCAACACACCTTCCCGTACCCCACGTAACAGCCCATTGCCGGGACCTGAAGCATGGAGCTTTGCCAAAATCGCTTTTGATGGATGGTGGTTCCTCCTACGAATGTGGAGCTGAGGACCAGCCCGCCTGGCACTGCTGAGTCCTGCTTGGAAAAGGCTGCTCTGCCACATGGTGAAATAAGGAAAGAAATGCCTATCCCGTGGAAAAACATAGGGGTTTCTGGTGCTGCACTGTGTTAGCACTTTATCCGTGATGGGGTTTGGCACCCTGAAACAACTGGTAACTCTTCATGAAATTTATGTGATTATTGAAACAGCCGCTGGTAAACCCCGGGTCACCAGCCTCTGTAACGTCGTCCTGCTCAGCAACTCTAGTCACACTTCTGCAGTGCTTTGTGTGATACAAACAGCTGCAGTCAAACAAGTACCAGCTACACACGCACACATGTACACACACACGTACACAGATGTACACACATACACATCCTGAGTTTCACAGATGTATTTACATTTAACAATGTAAACAATTGAGGAACACTACAGGCTGACCCGCACTGCAATGTTAAAATACAAATGAAAACTTTTAAAAAACAAGATTGTTTAAGAATACTCTGAAGAGTACTCTATGAAGAAATGGAAAATGAAAATGCATTATTTTCCCCAGCAGAGGCCACATAAGTGGTTATGCTACTAGCTCATCCTAGCTTACACTGAAGCATTTTTTTGATCCAGACCTTTGTGAAACAGCAGCGCTGATGTTTCTGTGAACCAGCACAGCAACATGGACATGGGAACATTTTCCCTTCCTGGAATAACCTATCTGAGTGCTGGATAAATAGATTTATTTCTCTTGAGGATTGGATATTGCTACACAGTGGTAAAAGTCAAGTACATTCTTGCTGGAAGCTGTCTGACTCAGCCAATCTGACAGCACCACCTTGCTGGTTTTGGGTTTTTTTTTCTCCTCCCTTGAATGAGTTGTTTCCCATCTGTAAAAGGAGAACATTTAGCCCTGGAACTGCTTCTGCAGCATCACCTTTGGCTTTTCAGATGTGAGTCTCTGATATCTGCAGTAGATGTGAGGGTGGGTTCCGCTTAAACACCTGCATAAGGGTGCAGGAAGATGAAGGAAGGGGAGAAACTCCCAAAGCATACAGAGAATACTTGCACAAACTGGCAGAGGCCAGACAAGTCTCTCACGTGCGTAGCATTTCACACAAACAGACAATAAAAAATGAGTGGTTCAGACATTTCACACAAACTGACAATAAAAAATGAGTGGTTCAGATGATTCAGGACTATTCTCAATTGGAGACGCAGTTTTCAGTCTTTTTCCCTTCTAAGCAGCCAGCATGGACACACAGAAAAAAACTGTCCTTGGAGGGGGCTCTGGAGGTCACCAGCCTAATGGTGGGAGCAAGGCTAACGGCAGTGTTATCCCACACCCACCCACCTTCAGCGTTGTTCCCCCATCTATCGACGTGGGATTCCCCCGCTGCAGTTTATGACGGCTGCTTTTTGTGCTTTGACTGGAGGCCTTGGAGAAAAGTTTCTTTTCTGCAAATGTTTATATAGCTGGCAACTGCCATCAGCCATCCTCCCCATCCGTCACCTCTCCCAGCTGAAGGGACCCAGCCCCCTCAGCCTCTTCTGCCACGTCATGTGCAGCAGGACGGCCCTTCACCAGAGCAGGAGGTGTGCGTGGGAAAATGAATCACTACGCACTACCGAGAAAAAAGGGAAAAAGAAGAAAGCACCCACAGTCAGGCAGGAGGGACTTTTTGCCCTGCCCTTCACGGAAGAGGCATTGCATCACAGGGGTCCTTACGGAACAGTTTCTGAGGAAGCAAGGCTGACATTCACGGTGCAGTACGTGCCTTCCCGCCTGCAGGTATGCACTGTTCAACCCTCGCTGTGAAAGGGCTGGGGTCAACATTTGAAAGATTACAGTTAGAAATCCCCGGTGCCGCAGCTACGCCTCGACAGTGAGACATTTGAAGACACTGAGGATGCATTTCTGCCTACGGCTCGCTGTGCAGCAAGCCAGTATTTGCACATGCAGTATTTATTTAACCAGGACCTTGGTGACCAACATCCATTAGGAACTGTAGGTAATACCAAACCCCAAACTAGCTCAATGCCTTCTATTTAATGGGCAAGTTTCTTGAAAATTGTCAGTTTTTCTCATTTGTAAAACTATGACTTTTTCTACCACTAAGGAGTGCTGTCACTTGTTTAAGCCCACTAAGACCTGCTTTTCTTTAGGTTGTGGGTCCCTCACCAAATCATCTACAGACCCCACCACCTTAGACAAGTGGAACAAATATTGTTGGTTTTGCTTAGGTAATCTTCGTAGTGGAGGCAAGGTGCCAGGTGATCGCTTATCCAGCAGAAACCACAGATAAGGCTGGTAAGGTACAACCCAACGCATGGCTCACGCTTTCTTGGTCCACTTACTCAACTAAAGAAAGGAAGGCTCAAAGCCTGGTAATGCCGATGCTCGCTCTCTCCGACACACCGCCATCAGGAGCAGCTGAGGCAACGCCTGAAATATCGTAGGATACAGGTAGGATATGACCCAGGCATTCATTTTTTTCATAGGCGGTGGCTGGAAGTATGCGCCTGATCACCGAAGCCTTGTCCAGACCACACCAGGCTGACTCACAGGGCAAGAGGTTGGCAGGCGTGCACTGGGGGAAGAGGGGAAGGAATTGGGCTGCCTGCGCATCTGTCATCAAGGCCTGGGGCTGCACAAGGAGCAAATGTATCTGTAGCGACTTTGGGCAACAAGACCTAGAAAGATGCAAGCTCCAGGGCTGTCCCTGGCTGTGGGAAGAAAAAAGGAAAAGGAGAAAAAAAAAGAAACTGCCTTTCACTCACCTGTTCTGCAAGTGAAGCGCGTAAGCATCACACCTTCCAGCCTGTGGCTCCGTTCTGTGGTTGTCTTTCAAATTCTCCTTATCATCTCTGTATCATCCAAGGAGTGCCAACTCTAGGGCACGATGGTCTTCGCCACCACCATCTCCAGATTACGATGGCATTTGTACCATACTGTGATTTTCCAAGCCTTTTTTTTTTTTTTTTTTTAATACAATGTCTCAGATCCTGTGTGGATACAGCCTCCTGGCATTCAGGAATCAGCGTGCTGAGCTTTCCAGG